CTTCCCACTACTAATTTGTCGGATATATAATTGCAAGGAAACAAGTGTTTGTGGGAGGGGAGGGAGGAATCAAGTACATCTATGCAAAGTTATATACTCTGGCCACCCCGGAGTAATAATGTTGGATTTGTCTTGCAATATATGTATATCGCTGTATAACTTTTTTTAGATAATGAAATAGTCATCTCGGCCTTTGCTCAAAGAGAGCTACAGTCTATTATTACAATCTAGCACTCTAAAACGAGTGTAGTTCAGAAATGATAGAAGAAATGACCACACAAAGGTAAATTTAACCAAAACAATATCGGGAGAACACATTATTGAAGTCTATTTGTGAATTTTCATCCATGATTGGCAAAAAGCTGCATAACCGTCGTCTCAAGCTTACGACATGCAGCTTTTAAAAGCTCACCGTCTTCATCACACCTTTATAGTTGTGCCCAAAACGGAAGCCAATAGGTTGCCCTGAAAATTACCTGCATATATGTAGCATATGGTGATTTGTCAAAAATCATATCATTCCTACACAACCACAGAGCCCAACCATATCGATGTATAACTAATATATGATTCCCATTATTTCCATGTGTATTACAATTAGAGTCTGTATATGTCCTCAAGATTTTGCATTACAAATTTTGGATAATCATCTAAAACGACCCCTCTTTTTTTGGACGACAAGGAATCAGCAATTATTTTGCCGAGGTTATCCATGGGGTAAACCATATATATCTCTTATTTCTGGCTGGTTTTAAAGTCCAGATAAAATAGTTTTAGCTTTATTTTGTTCTACAATTATACAAATCTGCTTTATATATTACCCTGTTTCTTAAAGAAAAGAATTCACAATCATGCAGATGTGCTTTAGTTTGTTCATCAATGCCTCTTCCAATTCAGATGGAATTGATGCCCACTCTCAGTTGTATTTTCTATACACTTTACAAGGGTGATTCCATCCTAATTTTTCCACGTGGTTGTTCTTGTGATAGATTAGATTTGACATGTATGCTCGCGGTTGCAGAGCTTGAGCCAATTTCAAGAGGGGGCCAAATAATTCCTACTAAATAGTTGAGTTTTCAACATGTAACTAGTGGAAAAAAAATATTTGCACGATATATTAAGAAAAAAAATTCATGTTATACCTAGGATTATTACAAGAATTAAAGAAAAAAAAGCCACACAAAACTGAAAAAGAAGAAGTAAAAGAGTGGACAAGCACTGCAAAAAGAGAGAAAAAATAGATCCGAAAGAGTGAGCTTTGAATGATTCGAACTCTCAACCTCCATGTTATATTTTACTCCCTTTATTCCATAATATAAGGCACAACTACTTTTTAGAGATGTTCCATAATATAAGGCATACATACATGCATGCCATTAATTAACACATATTCTCCACTAAAATATTATTATTTAAATTATCCACTATCAAGATCTCTAATTTTATTGGGTGCATGCATTACATTTATTTGATTAATCTAAACTATGAGGTGATAATAATTATTTCTTAATCTTTGGGCTTAGGGTGGTTGTGCCTTATATTTTGGAATGGAGGGAGTAAAAAAAAGAAAAGAAATGCAAAAACTTAAAAACTTATATACGAACTTACATGTTGTATAAGAAGGCCATATAAAAATTTTCATATTTTTTAGACTTCTAATGAGATAATTAAATTGTAAATCTTGTGTGTGCATAAGGATATTTTTAGGTATTTTTGAAAAAAAGGCCTAACCCAATACCGTATCGTAGAATAATTGATAAAAAAGTCACTGGTATATTATAGAAAGAAATAATATCAGTGGCAAATTATTAAATTCAGACAAATTCAGTAGTATAAAATAGATTTATCTCATTTATTTATATCGGTCTAATCTTTCGAATGCACTACTCATAAGAATAAGGGGACGTATGTGTGTTCGTAGGGCTGAGTAACGCATGCGTGTTTATGAGGGGGAAAAAATCATAATATCAGTGCAAGAGGGTCCTCCTGTTGACCTTGATCTTTCTCTTACTCAAATAAAATTTGAAAAATTAATTAAAAGTGCAGTGGCCCTAGTGTCTCATTAAGGAGGACAATAATGCACATAGATGCAGGGAGTCCATCGTACCTCTTAATGCACAATTAACCAAACAAGAGCATGGGTACCAACATGTTGAGGGATCCACCGGATCATGACCATTCGATCAACTGTGACGACCAGATAACCTGGAGTCATGCGTGTACCCACGTAGACATGGCCCCATGAACAATTTCTTTTTCTCCGAATAAATCACCCAAATCAAGCACCGAACAATTTCTTTTCTCCTCAGTGCTGCATGAAGCCCTTAGAGCAGGTACAATAGCAGGCTATAAGCCAGCTGCAAACATATTTTAAAGAGATAAATAAAGAGAGAGGAGAGCAGCGGACTACAGATTTGTAGCCAGCTGTAGTACGGACTCTAAGACGCAGTGTGTGTATGACAGGTGGGACCAGATATTAATAGTGTAGTATATAACTATTGTATGGATGGGATATTAGATTGGCTATAGATGAATTGAAGCTATTAGTTGGCTATACTATTAAACTTGCTCTTATAGTCCCTCCAAACAAATCACCGAAATCTGACAAAAAAAAAAGAGTAAGAAATATAAATTATAATTTTTTTTCTAAAATCTTAGAGGAAATGATAAACCAACTTATGGACTCGACGATCCCAAAAATGTGAAACTGAAACTTTCGATTAAGAGAGCAACAAATTCCAATAAATAAATACAATTTGGATGGAGACGGCTTAATTATACATGTACAGTATGACAGGCCCCCCTCCAAATTAAACTAGCACGACTATTTCGTGATTATAGTGCCTGCTAATTGCCATCGCTGATCGCTGTCAGTATGTAGCAGTACTGTAGCTGCAAGCAAAGCAAAGATGTGTTTGGTGTGCCGTGCACCTCTCCATCTCCATCTCGATGCTGCTCGATCGGAAGGCTATCCTGAATGATGGATAGTCCTAATTGTTTGGATAGGTTTCTCCACGTCGACTTTCACTTGCTTCCACTCAGGTGGGGCAGGACGTACGACACTAGGACACTAGCTGAAAAAAAGGCACAAGTCCTTTGGAATTGTAGGGCATAATTTTACAATTTCTGTATGGCTCAGATTGTTTCTTTTGAAAATTCATTAAACTCCTATGCAGCACTAACTTTTTTGTTTGAAAGAAAAAGGAAATTTTTTACTAGTATTAAATAATTACATCAAGATAATACACAGTTATTTTAAGACCACTCTTAACCTCTATATGCATCACTGAATGTATAGTTTCGTCAAAAAACCAAGTCTACTATGGAAAGGGTTTCTATGAGAGAGTTTAACTGATTTGCGTGAAAACTCTACAAATTACTGCAAAAAGATTTTAGTTTTTTCTACTACTAGCATATTCATATTGTCCCTACGATGCAACGGGATTTTAATTAAAGAAGATTATTATCAACCCATTATTACCATCATTTCCTTCATACATCATTTCTTAATTTCTCTATATATGTATTTGTTACTAACATGTGATCCTTCATACCCTCAGACTATTCTTTTTTCTTTTAATAAAATGTAATGAATTGATAGTGGAGGTGGTTGACACGTGGACCCTTTGGTCCTACTTGTCATTTTTCTTTTTCAAATAGTATGGAGTTGGTGGTGCAAGCTATGGCAGATTCATCACTCACCATCATCACTGCTCTCTTTTATAAGAATAAAAATAATTTTATATTAACGAGCAAGGTATCACTTTTGAGTACACCTCCTCTTTCACATAGAAATGTGAAGCTTGCCCTACATGTGGACACCGTGCTAGTACCAGAGCATCTCCAACTCCAAGAGTTCCGTATGGCCGTATACATGGCTCCTAAAGCTTAACTTTAGGAATTAAGTCACAATCTAGGCCTTCAATAAAATACCCATAAGCTCTCTAATTTTGTACTCACGCTTAACATCGATGCCTTACCGAGCCAAATATTGGGCACGTATCGGCACTCCTGGTGTCGATTCAGCCACTATCGTTCGATCCGCTTGGTAGCAATGATCTCTCCCTCGCAAGGAAAAAAAAAACAGAAACAGTTTAAAGGAGGACTCACTTAAAACCAAATTTAGGATTACTGTTGGCGGAGAGGGTGATTTGTTGGTCTAATTCTTTTAAGGATGGCCCAAATCAAGAATTTCTAGTGTCAAATTTTAGTATACTCTTAAAGAGATGCTCTAAGATAAGATTACACACAAAATTACATCCATGCATGCATCGATCTCTTTTTCCATGCTGATTTGATTTTAGGATGCGGCATAATTTTAAAATTTCGATGTCAATTGTAAAATTATGTGACATTTCCATGCAGTGCTAAGTATGTAGTTTCTTTTATAAGAGTAAGCCTCTTTTTGAACAGAGTATATTTGTAGGATTCCTACAAGAATTGAACTAATTTTCCATGAACTTTCTTTTTTTGAAAAGACGTTCTTGTGTTTCAAAGGAATACTAATTTATTGTTCCACTTCAAAATTTTGTTTCAGAAGGTATTGCCGAGGTTTAGGATAATAACTTTAGGGAAAAATCCAAATAACGCACCTTTTCAATCTCCCCTACAAATTAGTTTTGTAACTTCCCTCCTCTATCTAGTTTTTAGTGATTCTCATCGCACTCCTTAGCGATTTCTCTAGCATATGGTGAGCGAATTAAGACCCTATGTTCTCTCTTATTGGACATAAGATTTAATACGCCTTATCTAATAATTTGAGGTCATTGTCATGTTTTATCGCCGTATCTTTGGTGAAATTAAAGCATGCAAAAGCAAAAACAAAATGAAAAGTAGCTTTGGTGTCAAGAGGCAACTTAATGGGAGACCCATAAGGCATGAGAAATTGCTGAAAACTGGATAGAGGTGAAAAGTTGAAAGAGAAAATGAACTTGTGTGGAGTGTTTTGTACCAAAATAATTTGTCGGGGAGAGATTAGAAATATGAGTGACTTTTAGAGGTATTTGGAATTTTCCCCATAATTTTATAGAGGCAATCGGTACCACTTCATGTTTTATGATTAGTAAATTCTCCCATCTGTGGACACACATCAAACCGTACACATGCTACGTGGCTAAGATAAGATTAGGAGCAAATTAAACTACATCCATGCATCTCTCTTCCTTTGTTCCCATGCTGATTCGATTTTGAGCTGATCTTGATCGGTTGTTCAAGGGTTTCTACCACGAGAGGGGCCCACATGTCCGGATCACCTTGGGCACGCACCCAACGGAATGGGCCCCAAAAGTGGCAGTTGGAACAATTGCTGGCCGTGGCCCATGAGCTGAAAGGCACTGGTAACGGAAAACACCGGCCCAATCTAGAGGGCTCCTGTGCTGACACGTGAAAAAATGAACGGTCAGGATTGCCTGCATCTCCATCGTCTTGGCATTCCAAAGACCAGGAAAAAAATATTTTTTTAATTTGGAGGCTGACCCTCGGCCAGCTCGGACTCTCACTGAGGCTGGTTTCATCGATTTGTGTTGTGTCCATCTGAACAGAGAAAAGAAAAGGATAGTATGAGTAATGTTTATACATCAAATAAAATTTCAAAAAACCATGAATGGAAAAAATAACCCAGTCATAAATAAAACCATCTATTCCGGTTGATATATTAGGGATGCCCATCATGAATAAATCTTCTGAAATATCTAATCTGATGTTCTATCTACTCCATTTAATTACTCTGGAAAAGGGAAAAGACAAGATGGAACAGAAGTAGAGAATGGCATACCTTGCTGCATGCATACACTACATTGCAAAATATTTGAGAATGATGAGGTTGTTTTCCAAACAATATTGCAACGTCCTTGCAAGGTGCCAACTGGGTACCAAGATGGGCATCCTAGACAGGCAGGTTCAGAGACAACAAAGAGAACACTCTTCTTGCATGAGGCCATTCTCCTTCTACCAAATAAGACTGTCCAGTAATGACTCTTTGCAATGACTCTTCAGGTCTAAATAGAGAGGTTCCCCTCTGCCGTCCAAGGTGCAGATAAACACATTAACTGCAACATAGGAGGTCAATAAGACAACAACATTAGTGTAAATGACAAGCATTTCTTTGGTGTACAAGAAAACCAGAGGGAGACTAGTAGCAACACAGGTAAATGTTAGATGGCATAGAAAATTACTATCTGTAAGGGTCTTAACTGTATCTAGCATATGATGTTCAAAGGAGGAAACCTCATCATATTAGCGTATGGGAACTAAAAGATCCACTACATAAAAGCAGTGACATGAGACCCATAAACACTACAGGGAGCACTACGTGAAGTTATGACATCAGAGGAATTATTCATGGAAGCAATGGCGTCAATCTCAACAAGAACTGCTTGCAAATTTACATAATATGAGAGCAATTTAAGCCCAACTAATTGAAGTGCAGAACAAAGTTTGGCTGCAGAATTGGCGCTAGACAAGATGGTAGAGGCTATATAGCATTAGGAAACTGTAAAATTAAAAGACATGGGGAGGACATATCTAGCTAACTAGGGATTAATTGTAGAAATGGCTGAAATTAGCAAATGAGACGTCAAAGCTGAATAATAAGGTTCTGCATGGGCAATCAAGACAAAATTTTAACCTCTAAAGTAAAATGTTGGTCTTAGTCAAGTAGTGATTTCACTCAAAGCAAAGACAAATTAAGCATGATCAGTAAATATTGCTGTTTGAGCACATCCCATGCTTTCTTTCAGAATACCATCTGAGTTCTCATAAGAAATTTTGCACCAAATTTCTTGGAACTGATTCTGACAAATGAGGAAACAAACAACGAATTGTGAAGGAAGTATTACCAGCTCATGCTTCAAAACAAATGTAACACTGAAAAGTTGGGGAAGGACGAAAATTGTCAGTCCTCCCCACCAATTTGTTTTGGGGAAAAAAAAAACTTGCCACCGATCATTTGAGTCAGCTAGAAAAATCGAGAAAAAATGTCTTCTGGTGACAAATTTCTGCTTTTTTAATTTGTTTCTTTCTTACGAAAAGAATCAGTCAGCCATACCAAAAGGTTTCAAAAGGATGTTGGAGACATTTTCCCTTTCCCAATTTGCATGTCCTATCTGAATGAAACTAAATTATGCAGTACACCAGACCTAGCAAAAATATTGCTCCAATCAGCTACAGCTAAAATTACCGGTAGTCAGGTTTGAGCACCCATGTTGCACCATTTGTGCATCTTTACAACACTGCTATTTCCTTCAACAGATTCTGAAACCGCACCATATCGCTGCACAAAATGCAGTTCTTTAAATGTTCAGTTATTGCTTGCAGAGCTGGCTCAAGACTGAAGGTGCACATTGGCGAATTAGGACTGAGACTGAATAATAATGTTCCTAGTAGAAGAGCTTGATGCATGGCCTTTCTATGATGAACTTGGTGTGTGATTGGAAGCCAGTCCCAGGTTGAGCTGATGTTCCAGATCCTCTTTATCTTTTTCTTTGTAGCGAATTGCAAAGGGAAGTTCAAGTGCATCTGAAGCAGCTCCTCACATTCCAGGTATCCTAACTAAAAGTTTGTCAGACTTTGGCCCTGCTATTCGAAGTTTGTGATGGCTGAGAAGAGCTCATTAAACCAGTGCCTATTGAGGTGTTGACTTAAACTTCAAGAACACAGAGGATGGTGCCCTGGCACACCAGCTCTTCCAGTCCAAGTAGCAACAGAAAAACTATCATGACTTCTAATTGGAGTCAAGCTTCAACTGCCGTTTGTGCCACCTGTTAAGCTTCTGCTTCTAGGTGCAGCTTCTGGCCATCGTTAGCCTGCATTATGACATCATGACTAATTGCACTCTGAGAAAATTAGGAAAAAAATCATTTTCAGAAACAAAAACTGTGACAAATTATTTACGTTAGGGATCAGAAATTAGTGCTTACATGAATCCAGAGCATCAGAAAAAATATGCAAAATGTCGGGTTCTTCGTTCATGCCGGGATGAGCTATGGTCTGTTTTTTCCCCATGCCATGCCTGGATGAGTTTGGTTCAGCCTCAGGGGTCGTCTGCACATACATGATCTTGTCGCTAGTCATTTGGAATCTTGATATTCACATCTTCAGACAATTGGCTGAAAATATTGGAGGTTTCAGTCAAACATTTACTGAAATTATTGGATGATCAGTCTATATACTATCACATGGAGTATGTTGTATATGGAGGAGTGTTACGAAGTAATCGAACTATTTTGCAATTGGTTCAATTATCCCATGAGTGAGTAGCAATGAGTTCAACAGGGGAAAAAAATAAATCTAATGTTACAAATTTCAAAAAGCCAAGCGCTAGTGTCTAGCGCTGCCTCCACCGAGAGACCCGACTGTGTGCCTCTATAGGGCATCTTTTCGGCAGGGGGTCGCCTGCCGTAGGGATCTTTTCACTGCTCCTTTTTTTTTTTTTTTTGCAGCTGGCCGGCAGGGGGTCGCCTGCCGTGCCCCAGTAGGGGATCTTTTCACTGCTTTTTTTTTTTTTTTTTTTTTTTTTTTTTTTTTTTTTTTGCAGCTGAAACGGTAGGGCGGATACACGCCCTACCGCTGCCCATTGCAGTCGGGGTGGGCGTCTCTGGGGTGGCGATGGAATAGGATCAAATCGAGCTAATAAACAGGTCGTGTTGTCTCAGAATCGGCGATATGGTACAAAACTAATTTCTATATGGATTCAGTCCGAGCCAAAGAACAGCGCGCATATCGACCTAGGAGTAGAAGCGAAGCATACCTGCTCTCCACGAAAGCCCCGCGGCGAGGGGCGCCGTCGATCTAAGCCGGTGCAGAATCTTCGCGCCGCCGATGCCGGCATGCCGCGGAGAGTACACCGGAGATCCACATCCTCCTGGGGTTTTGACGGCGCGTCCGCAGCCAGCTGCTCGCCGCCGGAGCCGGAATTGGGGAAGCGGCGTCGTCGGGGGAGAAGAGGAAGCGACAAGGTGAGGGGGAGATCGAGGGTTCCCATCGTCCATCGTCCCATCGAATCACAAGTGTCGATGTAAGCCACGGGCTGGGCTTCTCTCTTCACGCCTGGGCATCAAGCCCAAGCTGCTGCAGGCCCAGTCCACGCCTCTTTTTGTTTTCTTTTCTTTTTTTTCTAAAGGAATTTTTGTTTGTGCTCAAATTGGTAATGCGGTTGTTTGGTTTTAGCGCGCGGTTACAAGATAAAATAAGTAAGCCAAGGCTATATTGATTTGTTCACGAAGGCATGTAGCCTGCCCAAAAATTTGGTAGAGGACAATAGAATCAGTACTAGGTTTCTCAGGAAATGTTTACATATCTGCCGATGATAGACTTTGTCCTCTATCGGTACATCTCTAGTTTTCCCAGTTTTCCATGCACATTCCCTAGCCTACTCAACAGATGATTTAATCTGGTATGGTTATTAGATACAAATGAAAATTTGCAGAGAAATTTACTACTGAAAATAAAATCACGTGTAAACCGGAAATTAATAAATAGCAAGGCTTTACATTTGGGTATGATCCAAACCATTCATATGCCAGGTCATCTGTCACTAGCATCCAATCCAAACTCGGCAAGTCGATTAGAAATTTTGCAAGGATCTTAGCATAAATGTCTCTAAAACCCAGGCCATCTTGTTTCTTTGCCTTTTTCAGTTTATCCCAACTGATCCAATGCGTTTTTTTTCTCCTTCTCTTGCTGGATCCACCAATACCTAGAAATGAGAGTGCTTATCTGGTCACCTTTGTCAAATCAAAATATGCCATGGTGTAGATAGGGATAGCTTGAGCAGCTTTGATCATAATCTCCTTTCACCTGTGAATTCTTTGCCAGACTCTTATCTTTTAGATACTCAAGAGCTTCAGCTCTAGATTTTCTAATATACATTGGAAGCCCCAGATATTTCTCATTTTGTGTTCCCTTTGTTATGTGCAACGTTTGCATCACCTCGCTTCTCTTCTGATCCCTAGTGTTCTTGTTGAAAATTACAGCTGACTCATATCATTCGCCCTGAAGACAACTCATATAATTGGAGAATTCCTTGCAATTGCATTGCATCCTCCCCATTTGCACGAATCAGAATTAAAGAATCATCGGCAACAGCAGGTGAGAGATGCTTGGTGCTCCTGGGCAAATTTTAACCCTGCCAATTCTTCCTTCATTCTCTGCCTTCAGTAATACAGCAGAAAGCCTTCAGCACAGAGCAACAAATATGGTGATAATGGATCACCTTGCCTCAATCCAAATGGTTCTCCTCGTATACAGTAAACAACCAAGTCCAGCTATATTTCCATGATAAAAACATCAGGATACCAATTAGCAAACAACATTTACCACATATTTAGCAGTAGTTGACAAATACCTAGCACTGATTCCCCGCAAAAAAAAAAAAAAAAAAAAAAAAAAAAAAAAAAAAAAACCTAGCACTGATGTTCGAAGAAGGATAGCATAGTATATGGGAATTAAAAATTCACTACTTCTGCATAAGAGCAAAGACCCGAAACAAAAAATACTAAGGATCGATTTATGGAGGCAATTATATCAACAGCCTGGACAGGTACTGCATGTAATTGGAAGTGCAATTCATAACCATTACATAATCGATTTATGAGAGAAATTCAAGCCCAACTGATTGAGGTGCAGAGCAAAATGTTTGCTAAAGAATTGACGCTACATGTGAAAGCTGTAAAATACAAACATGGAGAATTTTTTTTTCCCATTTTAGATAAACATGGAGAAGACTTATGTAGGCAGGGATGAACTGTACAAAATGGTTGAAACAAACAAACGAAACGTCAAAATTGAATAATAAGTTCCTGCATGGGCAATCAGAAAAATGAAATTACAATGCTGGTACTAGTCAGATAATGTATGCCTAATATCAAGTCCAAGTGTTGAGTTCAGTTACTTCTTGCTATCTCAAAGCAAATAACAAATTAAGAATGATCAGTTAATCATTCTGTTGTCATACCTTTTTCACGTGTACACTCTATACCAGGTTCCCATAACAAACTTTGCACCAAATTTGTTGGGGCTCATAATCTGACAAATGAGAAAGAACGAATTGTGAAGGAAGTATTACCAGGACATGCTTCAATACATATATGGCAATGAAAGTTGGGAAAGAACGAATTGTTGCAGTCCTCTAGTCAATACCAAATGTTTGTATTCCAGTATGTACAACATGTCAACTACATGTTCTTGTTTCAGATTTGTTTCTTTCCTACAAAAGAACCAGCTAGCCATACCAGAAGGTTTTAAAAAGACATGGGAGACATTTCCCATAAATCAAATTTGCATGTCTTATCTGAATGAAATTAACGTTTGCTGTATGCTATACTAACCAAACATTGCTATGGTCAGCTTCAGCTAAAATTATTGGCAGTTATTCTTCAGCATCCATGTTTCAGCTTTTAAGCCTCTTTGCGACAGTGCTATTTCCTCCAGCATATTTATGTACTCTGAGAAAATTAAAAAAGGACAGTCATTTTTACAAACAAAAATCGAGGAAAATCATTTGACTTAAGGATCAGAAATTATTGCTTACATGAATCCCTGAGCAACATAAAAGACTCTTCAAAATGCTGGATTCTTCATCTACCTAATCAGAACTATGCTGCTATGGTCTATTATTTCCGTTTCCATGCCTGGACAAATTCAGTTCAGTCTCAGGCTCTCAGCGGTTGTCTGCAACTCTGCACATACCTGATCTTGCTGCTTTGCAACCTTGGTAATCACATCTTCAGACAATCGGCTGAAAATATTGGATGTTCCAGCCAAATCTTTACTGTCATAGACTTGCAGCGTGAAAAATTCATCATGTCTCTAGCTTTAAAAGATCTCCTCAGGTGTAGCTTGCTGAATTCTCTGTGCACTTCGCAAGCCTAACCCGCAGAGAATTTAATCTGTTAAGTATGGTAATATGATAATTCAGATACAAACGCACATTTTACAGAAAAAAATACTATTAAAAATAGAATTATATATAAGCCAAAATTCGGTGATTAAATGACAAGGCATTACTTATACTATGCTAACCATAGTATCTGCAGAGTACGATACAAAATTATTCATGTGCCAAGTCATCTCTGACAGGTATCTAGTGGAAACTTGGAAATGCAGTCGGTTAGAAGTTTTGCGTCTTAAGGCCAAATTGCTAGCAGTAAGGGCATATCAAAACAGCAATGTATCTCCTCTCCTCTCCTACCCTATCTTTAATGTTTTAAGACTTTATTTAAGCTTCTCTTGGCTTAAGACAAGGAATTGAAAAACGATTCAACAGAAAAAAGAATTTCATTCAAATTCACCTTATTTAAGCTTCTCTTGGCATAAGACAAGGAATTAAAAAAAAGCTAAGCACTAGTGTCTAGCGCTGCCTCCACCAGAGGCCCGACTGCATGTATATGCCGTATTTGACAACTTACCGTTGCCGTATTGGAGGGGATCTTTTCACTGCTCCTTTTCTTTTTTTTTTTACAGCCATTATTATAACCGGAAGGGGATACACGCCCAGCCGATGCCCACATTTGGGATCTTTTCGCTGTATTCGGTCGGGGTGGGTGCCCTTGGGGAGGCGATGGAGTAGAGTCGAACCGACCTTATAAAGAGGTCGCGCTTGATCAGAATCGGCGATGTGGGATAAAACGAGTTACTGGGATCGATCGGCGCCGAAGCGCAGCGCACGGACCGAGCTAGGAGTAGAGGCAGGCGGGCATACCTGGCCCCATCGGAAACCGGCGGCGAGGGCGCCGTCGATCTGGCCGGAGCTGAAGTTTCCCGCTGCCGTCGCCGAGACTACGCCCGCCGGATCGAGAGCCGGCTGCTCGCCATTGGACGTCGGGAAGCGGCGCCCTCGACGGAGGTCGGGAGGGGATCGATGAAGTATGAGGTCCAGTTCGCATCTGGGCTGCTTTTTTTTTTTCAAAACAACGGTTCATGGTTATTCATTTATGCTTTTCTTTTTCTGTTTGACTTGTGATCTGTTAAGAGTGCACATCGCTCCTTCCATTAAAAAAAACTATTTGTGACTTGTAATCGGAGGATGTGTCATATTTAGAATTAAATTTTAAAAAACTGTTCATTGAAATTTTTTTAGAATATTTGAGATGCACAATTTTTTACGAAAATATACTGTCGATCTCGTACAACCGTTGTGCGAAAATGATGTGAGCGTGACGTCGCGGATGGTCACAAAGTAAAAGTGTGAGACCGTGCGGTCTTATGGAACGAAAGTGAACCAAACAGCGATACCGGTGTCATGCCGATTTAATTAGTAATTAATTATCCTGATTAGTCAATTAACTAATTATTAATTAGTCGCTAATTAGGATAATTAATCACTTTTATTATTAGTTAATAGTTAATTAGGTAGTTAATCACTAATCAAATGGAGCCGTTAGACGGTGTCGCTGATTGGTTCAGCGAGACTGTTCCGTTCCGCGAGACCGCGCAATACCGTCCGCGACGTCACATCTATGTCATTTTCGCGTAATGGTTGTGCGAGATCGACGGTATATTTCTAAAAAAAAACTTGGATGAACAGTATATTTTCAAATTTAATTCGTCGTATTTGTACTAGGTTTTTTTACATGATGGAGAGGTTATGTTGTATGGAGTAATGGAATAATGCTACATTCATCTTGAAATATAAATTATAAATATATTTTAACTCTAAATTTAGACAAGCGCTCATCAAGATTCGAAGTTAGAGATATTTTAGTGGTATGGATATCACCACTAGCATTGTTTTCAAATGTGTTAGGCAACTTCGGCTTAGTTCTTTTTTAAACATTAGCCCATAATTTTTCTCTCAAACCTTGCTATACATATGATTTTTGCCTCATCCAAATAGTTTTGATCATGAGTTGACTTGTACTAATATATTGACGTGTAATTCTTTTGTGTGTTTGTGAAAAAGAGTTGACTTATAATTTTCTTTGGGCTGCATTCCAACCTATGTTTGGAATAAACTGATATGTTCCACACGAAACAAGGTAGGAGGTTATTAGTGAATAATTAATTAGATATTAACAATTATAAAATTGAAAATGAGTATATTTCATTTTTTAAAATAAACTTATATGTAAAAAGGTTTTGCAAACACACACCATTTAATAATTTGGAAAACGTGATCACGATAAATGATAGAATTGCAAAAGCTAAACGAACTTTCGAACTGAGCCTATATTGCCCTTATTTCATACTTATATGCTAGCCTATTTGGGAAAACAAAATTCTCAATGCGAAAAAAAAACACTCATTTGCATGATAGAATTATTTGATCACAAATTTGACAACTGAAATTTAAATTTTTAAATAAATTTCAGACCAAAATTGATGGAATGCAGACAATATTGCCACCAAAAGATCACCAATTGATGGCGATCTGCGAGGCCGTGCGGGTCACGGAGCGCGTCTGTGGGAGGAGAGGCGGGCCTCACGGGTGCGGCGGGTGGTGAAGAGCTCGGAGGCGCTCGTCATGGCGGGTGGGGGAGGGTGTGGCACACGTGGCGCGGTGGCGATGGTGCGAGACTGCGAGCTCCTGTCTCCTACCGGATGCAGCGATGGCGAGGGCACAGCCACGGAAGCCTCAGCGCGGAGATGGCGGCGACAGTGGGGGTACGGCGCAGAGATGGCGTCCCTCCCCCTCCCTCTCCTCCTCGTCCTTGGCCTCTTCGTTCCTTTTGTCGAATCTGGGAGACGGTGGCGGCGGGGACTGGGGCTCGAGGGAGATGATGGCAGATCCAGGAGGATGACGATAACGACGGTGGCATGGTAATTGAGTTCAGCCTGATCCGCGCTAATGTGTTTGATTCATTACCTCGTGATGTGATATTGCTGCTAATCCATGGGGATTAATTAGGTTTCTTGGGATCAAATTCGTGAGCTCTAGATTAAATTTGGTCTTTTTCGTGCTGTTTTTGGTTGTCTCGTTGATTAATTGATTTGGGGATTGGATAGCAGATCAGATTAGAAATCGGATTCGGTGGGAAAAATAGCGCCGGATAAATCGAATAACGCGGTGGTGACGGACGAAACAACGCTGGTGAAAAGATGTGACGATTGGAAAAATATCAATCTTTTAATTACTTAAGATTAAGACTTAAGATATTATTCACTTATCTGTATGCCTGCTAGATAATATTCTCAAAGTGAAACTAATTAGATGAGCCAATTATGCGAGGTCTGCAAGAGCTGTTGATTAGATGTTTTTTTGAGTAATAAATAAAAGCGAATCTGAATAGTGCTTACAGATATTTGCATTAGTACTTTGATTAGCTGACCGCAATTTGCATATGATTTCAAATAAATTGAACTTTGTTTTATATGACATGTAACATGATGGTGCAAAGTTGCTGAAGAGCACCTAGCGAAGTTATGCACTGCGATTTGTTTAAGTTGTTATGTTGTTTTAGTTTTTTCATAGTTGGAGCATCACTTAAGAAACCTTCTGCCATCAGTTTTGTGAACACCTTTGATATTTATATTTACATGTTTGTCAGTTTGACATTCTAATTGTAAATACATATTTGTCTATTCTGCCTTCTAGCTTAATAGAAATTCCTCTTGATTAATTTTTTTATCTAACACAAAATATTTCACGCAGCTGAGCATTTTGGGCTGCCCACGGTTAACTTTGGATGGCCTTATTTCCAATCTCAAGTCATTTAATACGAATGCGGTGTTTGGAATTAAGCACCTCAGAGTTGGAACACTCTTCAGTTTACGGAAGGAGCAGTACGAAGAGTTATTATCCTTGTTGAATACCGACAAGACACAGGAGGTGCATAATCGGGGGCCAAAGATTCCTTCATGCTAATCAGTTTTTATCAGATTGCAATGATGGATAGATATGCTCCTGATATTGAGATGTGCCCTATTTGTCAGAACTACAAACTTGTTTATGATTGCCGAGATGAAGGATGTGATGATAGAGGCCGAGTTTAGTTCCAAATTTTTTCTTCAAACTTTCAACTTTTCTATCACATCAAAACTTTCCTACACACACAAACTTCCAACTTTTCCGTTACATCGTTCCATTTTCAACCAAACTTCTAATTTTAGCGTGAACTAAACACACCCAAAAGATCAGGTAATTTCAAGGGTTGTGCTGTTTGCATACTGAGATGTTATGAGTGTGGAAGGTGTGTAGACAAGTTGGCATTCAAGGAGTCATTTTCTTTGGACTGGGTTTGCCCTAATTGTCAAGAGAAGAAGGATCTGTCTCCCCCAATGAAATAGGGGTTTGTCCCCCAACGAACACTCTTCCTCTGCTAACAGAGAACAGCGTGCAATGCTGTCATGCAAGCCATCTTAACGTATCATTTCTACTGAGAAAACAGACAAAAAAAACGATGAGTTTGTTATTCTTGAAGGCGCAGCCATCCTGACATGCTGCATTAGCTTCTTGCAAGAAAAAGAACAAAAAAAGAGTAGTTAGTTTGATTCAGCAAAAAAAAAAGAAAAAAAAAAGATTGTTTCGCTACTATCGTCTAACTGGTGACATTTCAGAGGTGAGTTTTTCCTGATTGCTTTGATGTTATACATCCCATTGAATTTAGTCTTATGTGAGAGATCATTTCCTATCTTTGGTTTGGGGTTGCTTCCAAGGATTGCTGTTCAAGAGCGGAAGCACAACGTGAACTTTACGTCAGTATTGCAGCAGCAGCTGATATTCTTGGAATGTTAAGATCGAAGATGAACTGCTCTCCTCCTCTCACGGTCTCACCAGAGCAAATAGAGGATTGCTGTAATTTACCTTATACATGCGTGCCGCAATGTTGATGTTGTGTAATTCTGAAAACATTTGTCACACTACCATGTAATTTACAACTACTTGCAGAGAAATAAATGACTTCTAACCAAACTTTTGCTTTCATGTCAATTTGTCAAGTATGGTGAATGGCCGTCCTCGTTGGTAACATGATGGGAATATCCTGGAAGCAAACAACACCTGTCGGAGTGAATTTCTGCTGTTTCGCGTAGTAGAGAATGAAAAAGAGAAGGCCAACTCAACAATTACATTTGGCAAATGAAAAGAAAAGAAAAACCAAAGTTCAGTTTGAGATCGTCACGTTGAGTTAGGCTATAGCACATAGGGGAAAAAAGCAAATTATATTTGTGCCTCTGTTTGGCTAATCTGCAAGTCTGCTTGATTCATTGCCACCTGTTTCAAGGATGAAAATCTGAGAAAACATGTGGAACTACGACAAGACGTATCATGGAACATTTTATACGCTCCAAAACCGCAGTAAAAACACCAACGATTTGAGAACTAGTCACGCAATTAAATGTTTTTGATTGAAAGAATAAATAATCAGAATACAGTGTGCAGCCATTGGCAGAGCTAATCATGGGAAGAATTCTACATGACCGCCAATATCCTTGCACAACAACTTGGCTTCAGAAGCAAGCTTCCTGCTTCTAAAAATCACCAGGTTTGTCAACCGGTGCTTGGGCTGTGGTTCAAAGGATCTAGCTTCGGCCTCCTTACCAAGCAGCACCAGCTCCCGGGCCGGCATCACATTCCCCCACCAGAAATCACGCAGGACTTCATGGATGAGCTCCCAGTATCCGCGATCTCGAGGTACTCGGAAAACGCTGCTTCCGTTGGGAGTCCAACAGTAGAGCTCGACCCAATCTCTGCCCATTATCTCCATCAGGCCCTGCACCTGTGGCATGTAATAGTATGGCATAGCGCGCCATGGCAGAGCGAGCTCAGGCTTACCCTTGTTGAACGGGCACTTGACTTCTAGGATCCCACCGTCTGGGTCACACCCTAGAACACCATCAGGTGAAGCTCCGAGCCAGCCAAAGTTGGCCTCAGTGTGCACTGCGAAGCCAAGGGAACCCACTGACCGTCCGGTGATGCTTGTGTACTGCTCTATGGCTACACTTTCATTCACCGTGCCCCAGTTCATGGCAGACCTCGCCGCATCCTCCAACTTGATTTCTGTTGATCCAAATACTTTCTCGCTCCACAGCTCTGACCGTCTGTTGCCAGCCCAGAAGCCCAAGGCAGTGCTGAAGGTGCTTGTGGTGAGCTTGTCCTTGCGGAGAGCAAACCATTCCTCTGATCGCTGAGCAACATCCGAAGAGTTCAGCTGGGAGGACACCACGAGAGCTGAAGATGGTGAGAGAGATAGCAGGGATGACTGGCTATAGATCTGCAATGATGAACCTGAGCAGCTCTGAGGAATATAGCCTTCAAAATTTCGTCTTGATGGCAAGAATGCAGGTGAGGTCAACCGCACACGAACTGTCGAGCGAAAGGCTGTTGGAATTGGCAGGAGTGTCCTGAACAAATATGAAACTGCGCAATGGTTAAACATCATGCTAAATGATGGTGCAGTCTGCATAAATATAGCATAGCTGAGAAAGCATACAGGAAGTGCTCAACAAGAATGGTTAACCTCTGAATGTGGCATACATGAAAAGCTATACTTATTTTTATATGATGAACATGCTTGGCTTTTTGCAAGAATAATGCAAGCAAGTAGCAAGGGTTTATTCCTTGATTGATTTTAGGAAGCAGGCTTGCTTGGGGCAAGTAAAAGTCTGGGCTAAAACTAAGAAAGAGATCCCAGCTTCTCAAGCAATGGAGTATACTACAATGAAGCAAACTCCAGGAAGATGAAAAACTGCAAATAGCTCTAACCTCTCACGCCGGACAACAAAGATTCCATTTACAGTTCGATCAAGGGATATTTGTCTCCTGCTTATTTTATCTATGTGTTATCAAATTATATAGGCCGAGCATACTTCAGTCAGTATTTAACATGAATCCAAGCCTCATGTATACTACTAAAACAATCTATTCAGGTGCAGTCCTGATGACGAGGTGAAGCTAAATTTAAGTCACACCCCTGATAAAGCTGAAGAATTGATAAGCGCAGCTATACACATGATATGAATTAGCAGGGTAATTTGAACAATTTTCTGAAGGCAAGCAAGAATTTCAGAAAACGAAATTACAGCTCATTGAGAGTATTGAAATCTTATAATCCTTCACATTTTCCCTTATCTCTTCATTTATCTTCTTTTTCTCCCAAAATCCCTTTGGCATTTGGCACAAATACTCAATTAACATGTATGCGCCCCAAAATCAACGCTAGGAGTGTCCTTGCCCCCAATTGCAAGATTCAGTTAACCAAAATGTACTATGCATCCTAATGGTCAATGGAGCATTTGGTTTCATTCCATACTTTGTTTTGTAGTTGCAAGCTCCTCCAGAGTTTCATGCCATTATTAAGCGTTCACTTCCCACCTAGTCACCACCAAAAGACATTGTCCTAAACCCCGATCTCCCGGTACTTCACCAAGCCCGTCTAACCACGCAGCACCCACCCAGGCACAAATGTCTTATGGCTACGAGGGAACAACCAAGAAAAAAAAAAAAGCTCCATCCCTTACAGTACCTGAAGCGGCCGGGCAGGCGGCGCGCCCAGCCACGCGCAGCGGCGGCGTCCTCCGGGAGGACGCGGCCGCGGCCGCCGGCGGGGCGCGGAGGCCAGCGGTCCGGGGCGGCGCGCGCCTCTGCGGCATATGGTCGAGCACATAGCGCGCGTCCAATAGAGTGGCACGGCGGCGGGAGTAGCAGCTGTGGGGAGGGGGTGCCCTTACTGCCGCTCTCATTCTGTCCCTCCTATTTATCCCCAAACAAAGATGGGAGCCGGGAGGCCGCCGGGCGCCGGCCGGACGCGCCGACGCGGGACAAGGGGCGGAGAGGGCGCGGCCGCGCGGGCGCCGGCGCGGTGCGCGAAGGCAGCGGGAGGCGCCGCCGGCCGGAAGCGGGAGGCGCGGCGGCGCGAGTCGCGGGCTCGCGGGAGCGCCGGCCGCCGGAGTCGCGGGCTCGCGGCTCGCGGGAGCGCCGTCGCCCGTCGGGAGTGGGAGGCCGGGAGAGTGAGTGGAGAAGGGAGAGAAAGATAGGTTTTTTTTTTTTTGCCAGGCTTTTTTTTTTTTTTGATAGGCCAAGGAAAATGAATATACATGGTCTTCTCGTTAGGCTCGGTTCGGGAGGAACCTCTCCTCCCCGCACGTAAAATAAAGTCTCTCTTATTATATGATTAATTAAGTATTTATTAATTTTTTTAAAAAATAGATTAATATGATTTTTTAAAACAACTCTCGTATAGAAAATTTTTGAAAAAACACACCGTTTAGCAGTTCGAAAAACGTGCGCGCAGAAAACGAGGAAGAGGGGGTTGGGAACTACTACTACCGAACGCATCCTAAGAGCAGGTACAATAGTGGGCTATAAGGGCAAGTACTATAAGCCCCTACATATTGCCCCTAAATTTACCACATAAGATTAGATAATGAGGTGTAAGAGAGAAGTTAGGGCAAGTTTTAAAAAAGAGGTGGATGTTGCATCTAATCTTGATCACATCATCAACTGATAAATGTAGAGGTAACATGTACAATATATCACATCTATACTAATTCTAATACACTAGCCCCAATGTTTGTTTGTCCAATCTACTCTTCCCTCTCTCTCCTTTTGTCTTGAATTTTGTGTAGTGGTTGCGCCTCTTGCATGAGAGGTGGCTGCTTATCTCTCTCATCTCTTCTCTCCTCCACCTCACTATTTTAGCTCATGTGGTATCTAGGAGATTGTGCTTGGATGCCCATAGTACTTGCCCTTAGAAGAGAGAGAATGAGCCACCCCTCATGCAAGGGGCAAACTCTACACAATCTCTAAGAAAAATGCAAGATGATGTGAGAGTGAACTAATATTAGGATTTGTATGTTAGATGTGATATGTTGTATGTGTTACCTCTTAATTAATGAGAAGATGATATGGTCTAAATTAGATGTGACATCCACCTCCACTATAAAACTTGCCCTAAGCCAGCTATAAACATATTTTAAAGAGATAAAGAAAGAGGGAGAAGTGCAGCGGGCTACAGATCTGTAGCCAGCTGCAGCACGAGCTCTAAGACACAATGTGTGTATGACAGGTGGGACCAGGTATTAATAGTATAGCAAGCAACTATTGTATGAATTGGCTATTATATTGGCTATAGATGATTTGGAGCTAGTAGTGGACTATACTATTAAACTTGCTCTAAGCCAAATTCTAGGGTAGTTCCGACTTCTTAGCCTACCTGGACAACCCTTTAGACCGACTACATTGACAAGTTGAGGGAACTTTGGTGTGCTTTTTTCTTATTCTTATGTCTTTTTTTTTCTGTTTGACTTGTGATTCAGAGTGCACGAAGATGGGGGTACTCCTTCTGTTCCATATAAAAAAAACTAATATGTTTTGTGACTTATGTGGCTCGTACTATTAGGATGTGACATATTCATAATAGGTTTGTTTTTTAGGGACAGAGAGGATATGTTATGGAATAATGGGATAATGATTACATCATCTTGAAATATAAAATATAAAGATTCTTACTCTAAATTTAGACAAACTATCATCAAGATTCGAAGTTAGAAATATTTTAGTGGTCTGGATATCACCGAATGCATTGTTTTCAAACGTGTTAGGCAACTTCGGCTTAGTTCTTTTTTGCAAACATTAGCCCATAAATTTTCCCTCAAACCTTTCTATACATATGAATTTTGCCTCATCCAAATAGTTTTGAGTCGTGAGTTCACTTGTAATTTTCCTTCAAAATGATTATGGCTGCTTCCAACCTATGTTTGCGGTAAACTGATATATTCCACGCAAAACAAGACAGGAGGTTAGTGAATGATTAATTAAGTATTGACAATTATAAAATTTAAAAATGAGTATATTTGATTTTTTTTAAATAAACTTACAAGTAAAAAAGATTTTGCAAAACACGCACCGTTTAACAATTTGGAAAACGTGATCACGACAAATGATAGAGTTGCAAAAGCTAAACGAGCTTTCAAACAGAGCCTATATTGCCCTTATCTCATACTTGTATGCTAGCCTATTTGGGAAAACAAAATTCTCAATGTGAAAAAAAGACTCATTTGTAAAATAAATAAAGATGGTAGAATTATTTGATCACAAATTTGACAACTGAAATTTAAATCTTTAAATAAATTTCAGACCAAAATTGATGGAATGCGGACAATATTACCACCAAAATTTAAACCCAAACAAAAAAATCATGGTTTTTAATTTCTTGGTGAAACTCCTGTATGTGTTTAATCAAATTCTTCAAATTTGGCTAAAAGTTTCAATTTTCAAACTTGGCATCAAATAATTTCGTTCCCTTTGATTTTATTTTAAAGCAAAACCATATTAAGATTTATATTTTCAAATAAGTTGCCTTTAAGGATGAGAGAAGGGCATTTTAGAGAAATCTAACTATCAACTCACGGACAAATAGGTATATAAGAAAACAAAATAAAACTTACGGGTATATAATGGATGACGCAAAATTCAAGAGCATAAAAAAATTGAGAAAAAGAAACTCATGTGCATATAGGGATTTTTCCCTTCTTTTTGAGATTATTTATTGGGTTATCGAAACGGATATTTGTCCGACACATTGAAAAATACATTTTTTGCAAAAAAAAAAAAAAAAACTTTCTTCTACTATTAATTCGTTAGGGAAATTTGTTAGATTGAGTCTTATTTAAGTTGTAATTCGTTCAATAAGATCAACAAGGAGAAATGAATCTGATCAACAAGGAAAAAACTTTCTTCTTCCCACCGGTGTGCCCACCCCCTCTGTGCATTTCTTTCTTTCTATCTGTCGTCTCTGTGCCTCGCCGGCCGTGGGGACTACGGCCTCGCCCGCCTGCGTGACACTGTCTCAAAGCAAAGAAAAACCAAGCATAATAAAATTTTGCCCTAAATTTGCTGGGGCTAGTAATCTGACAAATAAGGACAGAACAAATCGTCAAGTATTACAACCGTTTTTTTGACAAATTGGTCCTTGCAAAAAACTTATTTTGAAACTAGTCCCTACTAAAATCTATATCTAGAAATAGGCCGTCGGCTCAGCGCCAGCGCCAACGGGACTGGCGCTGACATCGCGCCAGCGTGGCGGGCGAGGCGCGACGTGGCAGGGCCTCAGCGCCAATGCACTTGACACTGACACCTTGCACACCCTAAATAGACCGATGTGCTGCAATGAGTTAACAATGTCGCTCGTGGTGCAACGGTAATTTTCTTTCTTGCTGTACCTTAGGACTAGGGTTCGAATCCCAGGTCAGCCATTTTTGTTTTTTTTTTTAATCATCAATCAACGTGCGTACATATTAGTGATGATCTCCATTTTCGTTTTTGTCTTCAAATCTTCAATGTACTTTTTTTTGTTTAAATTAATTTTTATTAAAAAGAAATATCACATTTAGTACAAATTTAAAAAGTAGAAGAATGGATTAAAAAAGTTTAGAGACAACTTTTAAAAGAAATATCACTTTTTTATAAAAAAGAAATTAGAAGAATGGATTTAAAAAAACTTGAGTTTTTTTTTAAAAAAAATAAACAACAAGTTGAGAACTAAGGGTAAGTTTTATTCTAAAATGTCACGTGTTTTAATAAAATTAAAACAACACTTGAACTTGTAAAAGAAATATCACTTTTTTAAAAAATATTTAAAAGGAATAACACATTTAGTACATATTTAAAAATAAAAGAATGGACTTAAAAATACCTGAGCTTTGAAAAAGTTAAAACCGCAAGTTGAGAACTAAGTAAAAAAAAAAGTTTAGTAAAAACATAAAGGAGAGGGTTCGAACCCTGGTCACTGTAACGCCACCTTTCAAATACCTACCACTGAGCTAAGCCAAACCTAATTGTTGCTTTTGCTTTTGCTTTTATTTAGCCAGTATAAAGGCCAGCGCCGCTGTAGAACATATATTCTGATATTTATATTTATATATATTTAAAAAACAGAGAGCATCATTAATCATTTATATGTACTAATGTACGCACGTAGATTGAAGATTTGAAGAAAAAAAAAAGAACGAACAAGGCTGCCGTGATAGGGAGTCGAACCATGGTGCTAGGGTACACAAGCAAATGATCATACCATTGCACCACAAGTGCATTGCTTATTAATGGCCGCGCATCCTTTTAATTAGCCTGTACAAGGGGTCAGCGCCAAATACATTGGCGCTGAGGCCCTGCCACGTCGCGTCTCGCCCGCCACGCTGGCGCGATGTCAACGCCAGTCCCATTGGCGCTGATACGAACAACCTCAGTGCCAAAGAGGTTGGCGCTGAGCCGACGGCCTATTTCTAGATATAGTTTTTGGTATGGACTAGTTTCGAAATAAGTTTTCTATAAGGACCAATTTGTCAAAAAAAGGGGTATTACAAGGTCATATGCTTCATGCCTTCATTCACATACAGCACTGCAAGCTGGTAAAAGGAACGAATTGTCGTGGTTCTGCCAGTTCATTAAGCATTCCAGTGATAAATTCGAGTCAACCACATAAATCCATAAGAAATGCCTTCCACTGAAAAATGTTTGTTTTCCTGTGTTTACAACCAGTCAACCAACATGCTCTTGTTTGAAATTTGTTTCTTTTGTACAAAAAGAATCAGTAAGCCAAACCCAAAGACTTTAAAAAGATACTCCCTCCGTTTCAAAATATTTGACGCCGTTGACTTTTTAGCATATGTTTGACCATTCGTCTTATTCAAAAAATTTAAGTAATTATTAATTATTTTCCTATCATTTGATTCATTGTTAAATATATTTTATGTAGACATATAATTTTACATATTTTATAAAAGTTTTTTGAATAAGACGAACGGTCAAATATGTGCTAAAAAGTCAACGGTGTCAAATATTTCGAAACGGAGGGAGTATTATTTAGGGGCATGTCTCCTCTATCAAATTTGCAGCGCGTTACACCTAGACAATACTTTGCTCCGATCAGCTACAGCTAAAATTTGTGGTAGTCAGGTTTCAGCACCCATATTGCATCATTTGCACCTCCTTGCAACGTTGCTGTTGGCTTCAGCAGGTTCTCAAACAGCAGTATATCCATGGATAGAATGTGGTTCTTGTTCTTAAAAAAAAGAGTTCTTGACATGTTCAGCTATGCCCATTGAGCGGAATGAACCACCATGCAGTTTTATGAAGGTGTAGATTGGCAGATTAGGACTTCAGGATGAACAAGTATCTTCCTAGTAGGAGGCCTTAAAACAGTTCAGCAGGGAACAGTGATTTGCAGACAGAGAATGGTGCTCCAACAGCACCACAGCACCAGCTCGTCCAATGATCCAATCCATGTAGCAACAGAAAAATTGTTACTCCATGATAGGCATAAACCTTAAAAGCTTCAGCTTCTCTTTATGCCGCCTGTGAAGCTTCTGCTTCTTCTAGGCGCAGCTTCTGTTAATCGTTAGCATGCATTATGTCCGCATGATTGATTGCACTCTGAGAAAAGTAGAAAAAAGGGTATTCTTTTCAGAAACAAAAATTGATCCAAATTATTTGTGTTAGAGATCATAATTTTTTTTTCTTACATGAATCCCTGAGCACAAAAAAGACTCTTCAAAATGTTGGATACTTCGTCCATACCAGGATGAGCTCAGCTCAGTCTCAGAGGTTGTCGGCGCAGCCAAAGCTGCACATAGCTGATCTTATTGCTTCATTTGGAATCCCGGTATTGACATCTTCAGACAATTGGCTGAAAATATTTGATGTTTCAGTTCAATCATTATTGTCATTGTCTTGCAGCGTGAACAAATCCTTCACATCTCTAGCTTTAAAAAAAAAATCACCTCTGCTAAGAGTATTTCAGTACTTCGTTTCACAGGAAATTCTTGCATACCTGCTGATGATAGGCTTTCTCCTCTATCGCCACATCTCTAATTTTCCCCGTAGTCTGTACCACATATAATTTAAGCTGGTAAGTATGGTATTCAAATACAAATGCAAAGGAAATTGGAATTCAAACGCATAGGGGGTTCAAATGCAGGCCTCCATTGCTGCTGTTGTAATTAATCAACAGAAAAATAATAATTTGATCATACAAAATTTCAAAAAGCAAAGCGCTAATGTCTAGCGCTGCCTCCACGGGAGACCCGACTGTATGTATGCCGTATTTGACATCTTAACGTATTTATATGGATGCAGCCTAACCGGCAGGCGCCTGCCGTGCCCCGTAACGGGAGGGGACCTTATGACTGCTCCATTTTTAATTTTTACAGCAGAAGGTGTCCGCCAAACCGTGGCCACGGTGGGGATCTTACCGCTGTATCTAGTCGGTGTGGGTGTCTCCGGGGAGGCAACACAACAGAATCAACCAGAGTTTATAAAGAGGTCGCTCTGTCGCAAAATCAGCGAGGTGGGACAAAACTAATTGCGGGATGGATTCAGTGCGAGCCGAAGCGCGTCGCGCAGACCAAGCTAGGAGTAGAGACGAGGCCTACCTGCTCTCCACGGAGGCCCGGCGGCAAGGGCGCCGTTGATCTGGCCGGAGCTGAAGCTTCGCGCCGCAAGGCCGCCGCCGTCGCCGATGCCGCGGAGACCACGGCCGATGGATGCGGGTCCTCCAGGAGCAGAGATGGCGCATCCGCAGCTGGCTGCTTGCCGCCGGACGTCGGGAAGCGCCGCCATCGGGGAGGAGAGGGACGGCAGGACGGGAAGCGAGATCGAGCCTTCCATATAAGGTGGGCCATGTGGTAAGATTACCATGAGTCCAGTTCACGTCCTCCAGGCCCAGTTCACGGCTGGGCAGTTTTGCCCCCTTTTTTTTCTTTTTTTTTTAATGTTTTCCCCAAGGATTGTTGTTTCTTGTATGTGCTCAGATTGGTACTGGGGTTGTTTGGTTAGTACTAGTCATTCCGTTCCAAAATAAATATACCAATCTAGATAAGAATTTGATATAAGCTATGACAACGAATGCGGACAGGTTATATCAAATCCTATTCAAGATTCGTTTATTTTGTGATTGATAAAGTATGCTCTATGTGTTTCTTTTTTTTATGATCACATACACTCGACCGTAATTAGTTCTAAATATGAGCGCCCATATTACCGATGAATACGAGCATTTGTACTACCACTTTGAACCTAAGTAGACAAGTATTACTGCAAGAAACCTACCTACGGTTTGTTTGTTGTATCTTCAAAATTTTAAAAATGCATCAATGAATTTTTAATGCGATTATAGAGTTAAGCTTAGGAATCTAATTGATACACCCTCGTCTCTACCCCTATACACAACCTATTTGTACCACCACTGCCACGAGCTTGGGGCGCTAAGATTTGGCCACCCTAACCTCAGCCACGTGTTGATGCAAAAAAACACATACTGGCCTGGGAGATCTATTTAGCTCCAGTGTAGGTCCAAAGGTTATATGCGGCGTGCCAGTCAGTTTGATCCTACAATTGACAAGACATGTAAACAACATATCAAATAGCTGATTGGCTGACAAGCCGGTGGAGTAATTCCAGTCGATAGCCGATGTCAATGGGGTTTTGAGTAATCGGCTATATATCATATGTAGATAATGATGTAAAGACAATCGGCTGATGATAATAAAATATAAAAATAATATAATCCAATAGAAACCAATCGGCTAATAATAATATGAGAGTGTAAGTACTTATCCGAAGGTTAAAGCATACATCGGCTGGAGGTCTGATGTCATAAAATCTAAACGATTAGATAAACATCCAGATAATTCATTGGCTGAAACCCCGATGAAACCCTTATTGGCAATCAGGAAGCAGGCTAGAGATTATGGTTCTAAACACGACTTAGTATATCAAACTTAACCTATGCAACACTAAGTTTGTAAAGAAACACAATATCTAGACTATCAAGCCCTTAGACTGATTTCTCAGGGTGGTAGATGTCTAAGCTAATTTAATCTAGCAAGGCGATTTAGTCGATACCGGTAGAAACCCTAAAGCGAGAAACAACCGATAGAGCTAAATCAAGATGCTAATACTAGATTAACAGATATAAATGATAAATTGGTAGGCAAATATATCATTCAAACCAGAGCAATCCAAGAGGTCGAATGTACTGATGCAGCCATGAACGACGCCAACGTAGACGATACAATTGCCTGGGGCGGCGGAAAATTGGATTTAGCCCTTCCCCGGAGATCGAAAACCGGTGCAGCCCCGCGTCAGGTGCCAAATTCCGCAGTGATAAATAAAAAGTGGAAAAGGTAAAAGGTGGCGATGCGCCAAATTGTATTGATCGTGGAGATAGTTTACAATGACCCCGGGTGTCCATATTTATACCCATGGGTAGATACTAGTATTTGTAGGACAAGAAAGAAACTTTTGTAAAGATAAAAGGAAACTAGCAAAATATTCATAATTAATACTCCCTCCATCTACTTTTAATAGTCATATTTCATCATAGCACACAAACTAAGGATAAGTGATTCTACTTATCATCCATTTAAACATGCTACTAGTCATTCCTCGTAAACAAGCGATTCATTAATATTTACATTTCTCGATGCCCATGTAGCCAATCCTGTGTGGAAGAAGGAGAGTCACGCATTAAATCCGAGAAAGTCATTAAGATGATAGGTTGTTGGATTGAAATATGTCTATCAAAAATAAATTTTTCAGATTTGGAAATATGCCTATCAAAAGTAGATAGAGGGAGTAGATAACTTGCCACGCCGCATCCTGATTAATTTCCTTAACTGAATATAGCATGAATCCGGCTATTGACAACGTGATAATTCTCTTAGGGACTTACCAAATTTCACTGTTATAAACCAATGTAGGTAAGAATCTGATAAAAGCTATGACAACGAATGTGGATAGCTATGATAACCCCCTCCCATTCCCCCACACCCCCACCTCAGCGAGTTCACCGGCGGTGAACTCCGCCGCCTCCGGCGTCCCCCCACTCCGCCACCTCTGCAACGAACTCTCCCTGTCAGCGGCCTCTCCCCTCTCCTCGTCGGCAGCCTCTCCCCTCTCCCTATCGGCGCCTCTCCACTTCTGGCGGTGCGGAGCTCGATGCTGGGCGGAGCGGCGATGGCGACGACATCCTCTCCCCTCTCCCCTTCCGCGGCCACGAGCTCCGGATCTAGCCTAGCGTTGGGCGGCGAGGGCGGAGGTCGATCTTGGCGGCGCAAATCGGGTCGACGAGCTCCCCAACAGCAGCGTAGAGTGAGAGGCTGCAGCCGCCTGGCTCGAGGCGGCGAGGGTGGAGATGGATCTCAGCGGCGCAAATCGAGTCGATGAGTTCTCCGGCGGTGGCGCAAATCGAGTCCACAAGCTCCCGACGGTGGCGCAAATTGAGTCGACGAGCTCCCCGATGATGTTGCGGAGTGGGAGGTTGCAGCCGCCGTCGAGCTCATCCGACGGTCATTGAGGCCTCCGCCATCGAGCTCATGTGTAGTGGCTGTATGTGGCGAGGGAGTGGCATGGAGAACGGCTTTTACAGCTTTACATGTGCCCTTTTCATCTTTTTCAGGCGAGGAACTCGCCTCTTCGTTGAGGAATGAAAAGCTCTGCGAAGGTGTGAGAGCCCACACCCTCTCTCCACGGCATCACGAAGTCTACATGGTGGAACGAAGGAACGCTCCAGTGTGGATGCCTGAGCCAATGCAAAATACTGTAGTTCCTCTGCATTTTACTCTTCAACGCAGAGGATCTAAAGTATTTCAGTAATACTATAATCTTTTTTTTCTTCTATTGGACTCTTCTTAAATTCTACTTTTCACCGTAAACTCAAAATTGGTAATTTTCACTTCAAATTTATATTTTTTCCATTTTGCATTTGTGGAATGAAATGCTCACTACTACATGATAATCAGCTCTTGCTTCGTTTACAGCTGCAGCAAACAATGATTAATCGGTGTCGTGAACATTTAAAGAAAAATCTTCAAATCGGGGAGAAAAAATGATCAAAAGAAAAAAGGAACAGAACTCCAGCCGAGGGCGTCTCTACAGACACACCATACTTGGTAATAGGACAGGTGAAAATCACACGTGGAGCTGCATCAAGCAAATTTTTCATTTTACTACGGAACATCAAGCAAAGGAAAAACAACTTTCAGAACATATTTTCCCATTAATTTCAAAGCAAAAAGAAAAAGGGTTATACAAACTCTGCTGCAGTCTGGGTTCTAATCTGAACTCGCAAGAAAACAGAGGATATATAAATTGGATTTCTGAGAAAATATGCACTGCATGTACAAATACTGTTTGCCGTGACTAACGGTGTTCGTATTTGAAAAGTATTGATTGCTCACATTGACAACTGAGACATCATCAGCTTGACAGGGCAAATACCTGTAGTTTGCTCCACGCGGTAACAAACGAGCATGTAAAAGCAAATAAGATTATTTTTTGTTTCTTCAGCCAGCCAAAGTTCCTAGCAGCTCATTCTCCACATGCTGACATGCAATGGTGAGGTGACATGCATCTGTAACCATGGCCCTCTCAACTTGTAACTTGCACTTCAAATGGCACCCCCGCATATGTAAATGACCTAGTTCACCTATATTTCCATGAGAAACATCAGGATAGCAAACCTGTGTCACAATCCAGATGATGCTGAGGATTGTCAGCAACAGCGCAACAAAATTTGAGCAATGGTTAGGGAACTAAATATGAGCTGCCATAGATTTGAAAAGATAAGATAGATTCATACATTTTTAAGCAGTTCCGTGTTCAAGACAATCTGCTCCAGTTAGCTATATATCTCTGGTTTCACTATAGCTGGAGCCTGGCCTTCAATAATGCACTACAATTTCACATTTTCACTTGACTTCAGCAATAGAAACCTTACTGCTTGGGGTGTAGTGTAGCACATCGCAGTTACGCCAATATTTACTCCAACTGCCATGGTCTTTGACTACAGAGAGATCAATAAAGTGCTTTTTAATATTAAAACAATTTTTGAAAAAAATAATTATTATGTGAGCCAATCAAATTATCATGTTGTATTTGTCAAGTGTGGAATGATGACGTGTTTATGTTTTAAATGGGTGCAAACATGTGACATTTCTTAATCTTCATTGCTACAATTCGCCCTAACTAGTAATATAGTGTCGCCATACATAGCACACTCAAAGAGCAACAGTTTTGAAAAATTATTGTTATAAATTGTGAAACTGCCTATTTGATTGTTCTATTTCCTCTGTGCTTGGATTGGTTAGGATGTCATTTTCTGATACATTGCCATCATTCGGTTCAATTTTTCACCCCCAGACCTTCCTGCACAACTCATTGCATGACTTGTCCAATGTGTTATTTGTCACCCTGGAAAATTGAGGACTTACTTGTACTGACATGTTGCTTCCATACCGTTACGGTACGGCTACGCCCAGAAAAAAAAATCAAGATTACTTTCACTTTACATCAGTAGTTGACTAACTTGATACTTTCCCTTTCCCAAGTCCAGGTCCAGGTCAACGTTCTTGTGAGTTGTGATTATCCCTGACGTGGTGTTTTAATTCATGTGCACATAATAGGTGGTTTTTGTGTCATGAATTTATTTCCTTACATGAGAACCAAACAGTTCATTTTGCAGAGCCCAAAGGAAGAACCTCCTCTGGCCAAACAATGTCCCCTTATATTATCCCTCTGTGCCTGATTCTCTTCATCATCAAAGCTAGTCATTCCATGGGAGCTCAGATCAATGAGACAACCATTCCTCAAGGTTCTGAAATCAACACAGCTGGCCCCCAAAGTTGGGTCTCCCCCTCAGGGCGCTTTGCGTTTGGCTTCTATCCCGAAGGGGAGGGATTCTCCATTGGTGTGTGGCTTGTCACTGATCCATCCAGGTTCATCTTGTGGACAGCCTTCAGAAATGATCCCCCGGTTTCTGGTGGTTCAATTCTGTTAACCGCTGGTGGTTCACTTCAATGGATTCCACCTAATCAAGGATTCCAAGGGAAGGTAATATCTGCCGCCCCTACTTCGGCTACTTCTGCTGCTATCTTGGACACCGGCAACTTTGTGTTATATGACGCCAAAAATCAGGTCATATGGTCTACCTTTGGTACTCCGACGGACACCCTGTTACCAGGGCAGAACTTGCCTCCTGGCAATCAGCTGTTCTCAAGTGTCTCTAACACCAACCATGCCACAGGAAAGTATCGCCTTTCCAACCAGCCAGATGGCAACCTTGTGATGTATCCGATAGGCGCGATAGATCCTGATAGTGCATACTGGAATACTGGTACTTATGCACAAAACTTTCTTCTCACTCTTACACTGGATCCCAACGGCACCCTATGGCTGTTCGACCGAAATAGTCCATATAGAATGGTGTTGTTTCTGACTAATCAGTCATTGAGTGCCTCCCCAGATTCAGAGAGTTACTACCATCTGACATTGGATGCTGATGGCATACTGCGACTCTACTCGCATGTGTTTTTCAAGCAAGGAGGAGCGCCCAAAACAAAGGTCGAATGGTTGGTGCCACCGAGCAATGATCGCTGCAGTGTGAAAGGTGTTTGTGGTCCAAATAGCTTCTGCCAAGTAACTAGTAGTGGAGAAACCAGCTGTTCCTGCCTTCCAGGGTTTGAATTCTTAAGTGCTAACCAAAGCACTCAAGGTTGCTGGAGGGCACAGACTGGTGGTTGCACCGGGAATAGCCCTAATGGTGACATCGGACTGGTAGCCACAATGGTCACGGTGAAGAACACTAGTTGGTCAGATAGGTCATACAACGTCCCACCTCAATCACCAACCATTGAAGAGTGTAAAGCAATTTGCATGTCTGACTGCGCCTGCGAGATTGCCATGTTTGACTCCTACTGCTCAAAACAGATGCTTCCTATAAGGTATGGCAAGAGGGTTCCTGGTAGCAACACCACGCTATTTGTGAAGGTCTACTCCTATGAACCAAAAAGGACTGCAAGTGCAACTTCAATTGCCATGTTGACATCTGGCGCTGCCCTCGGCATGCTCTCACTTGTACTGCTCTCGGTGTCTGTAATGCTATGCAAGCGCCGGCCATTTTTGAGGTACACACGTGCTCCACAACATCATGAAACTGAATTTGATGAGGAGAGCATTGGAATCCGACCATACTCTTTCCATGATCTAGAGCTGTCAACAGATGGCTTTGCTGAAGAGCTAGGAAGGGGTGCATATGGCACAGTGTTCAAAGGTGTTCTAACAAATAGTGGGAACAAGGGCATTGCAGTGAAGAGGCTTGAGAGGATGGCAGAAGATGGGGAGCGAGAGTTCCAACGGGAAGTGCGTGCGATCGCACGAACACACCATAGGAACCTGGTGCGTTTGTTCGGGTTCTGCAACGAAGGTGCGCATCGCCTTCTTGTCTATGAGTACATGCCAAATGGCTCCCTTGCCAATCTTCTCTTCAAGCGCGATGCAACACTACCTAACTGGAGCAACAGAATTGCGATTGCGCTGGATGTGGCTAGGGGGTTACAATACCTGCATGAGGAGATAGAGGTGCCTATAATTCACTGCGACATCAAGCCAGAGAACATACTGATTGACAGCTCAGGAATGGCAAAGATCGCAGATTTTGGCCTGGCAAAGCTGCTGATAGGGAACCAAACCAAGACCTTCACCGGTGTCCGGGGCACGCGTGGCTATCTCGCACCAGAGTGGAGCAAGAACACAGCGATCACTGTGAAGGTAGACATCTACAGCTTTGGCGTGATGCTTCTGGAGATCATAAGCTGCAGGAAGAGCATGGCACTTAAGTTGGCCGGCGAGGAGTGCAACATCTCTGAGTGGGCCTACGAGTACATGTTCTCAGGTGAAATGAAAGAAGTGGCAGCCGGCAAAGGTGTCGACGAGGTTGAGCTGGAGCGGATGGTGAAGATCGGCATTTGGTGCACTCAAAATGAGCCAGTGACACGGCCTGTGATGAAGAGTGTCGTTCAGATGATGGAAGGAAGTGTGAAAGTTCAGCGTCCTCCACCACCAGCATCATTTTCACAGTCACTACGCTGAAATCATCCAGAGTATTTCATGTCCTATACTCCTATTGTCTTAAGTCAGAAGGCAAAGGATGACAAATCATCTAGAGTATGATCGAAATTGTGCGTCTTACGGCAAAACTGCTAGCAGTAAGGGCATATCAAAACATCAATGTATCTCCTCTGCTACCTATCTTAATGTCTAGTTGGGTGTTTATTGTAAGATTCTTTCAAGAAATTAAACTTCTCTCGGCTAAATACACTGTTTTTGGAGTATTATATATGGAGTAATCGAACTATGCATCCAAAGGATGGAATGGTCAAATTGCAATTGGTTCGATTAACCCATGAGTAGCAATGAGTTCAACAGAAAAAAAAATGGACAAATTGCAATTGGTTGGATTAACCCATTAGTAGCAATGAGTTCAACAGAGAAAAAAATCTAATGTTACAAATTTCAAAAAGCCAAGCGCTGGTGTCTAGCGCTGCCTCCACCGAGAGACCCGACTGTGTGCCTCTATAGGGCCTCTTTTCGGCAGGGGGTCGCCTGCCGTGGGGATCTTTTCACTGCTCCATTTTTTTTTTTTTTGCAGCTGGCCGGCAGGGGGTCGCCTGCCGTGGGGATCTTTTTTTTTTTTTTGCAGCTGAAATGGTAGGGCGGATACACGCCCTACCGCTGCCCATTGCAGTCGGGGTGGGTGTCCCTGGGGTGGCGATGGAGTAGAATCAAATCGAGCTAATAAACAGGTCGTGTTGTCTCAGAATGGGCGATATGGTACAAAACTCATAACCGGATGGATTCAGTCGGAGCCAAAGAACAGCGCGCAGAGCGACCTAGGGCTAGGAGTAGAGGTGCGTGGCATACCTGCTCTCCACTCCACGTCGAGGGCGCCGTCGATCTGGCCGTGCTGGTGAAGTTTCCCGCCGCCCGGCCGTCGCCGTCGCCGTCGCCGTCGCCGCTGACGGCCGGATCCAGATTCTCCGGCAGCATCACCAGCTGGCTGCTCGCCGCCGGTCTTGGGGAAGCGGCGGCGTTGGGGGAGAGTGGGAGAGGTCGGGAGCGAGCGAGAAGCCGAGAAGGCATATGCAGGATGCTGGGCCATGACCTAAGGACGATGAGTCCATCCTTCTGACGACGCACGTGGGGCTCGAGCCGAAGCTTTCCCAGGCCCAGTTTGCTACTAGGCTGATTTATCTTGTTTTGTTTTTTTTTTAGTTTCATTCGCGTCCTTCAACCACAAAGAGGTATATAGCATCCGTCAACTGTCAAAATCGGAACGAGTATCATAGTTGTTTAAATGACGGTTTCGACTGATTTGATGCCTACCTAAAATACTCTTATGGACATATAAGTTTAATAGTTGATTTATATCATTAGAAGTTTCAAAAAAATATAAAAACTTTTATGTGGCCACCTTACACAGTATAAAAGTTTAAGTTTTAATTTTTTTTCATTTCTACTTTTTAAAAATATAACTTGTTTTTTATATGATATATAAAATATTTTTTGTGTTGTTGTTTTTAATATAAATTATCTTTCATATGCAACATAAGATATTATCTTTTGTGTAAGCTATTTCTATCTGATATACCATACAAAAATATTTTTTTAAAAAAAAATATATAAAAAATGAAACTTATGTACATACTTATCTGTTGTGTAAGGAGGCCATATAAAAAATTTCATATTTTCTGAAACTTTCTAATGAGATAGAGTAGATTCTCTCAACTTTATATACATATATAAAAAGTTTATATGTATGTATGTAAGTATATACATATGTACATATAATATATATTATGTATATACTTTTGATGTATAAAAATACATATACATGTATACAAAGTTTGCATCTAATTTAAACTTTCAAATCTTTCAACTCGAAAATTTTAAAAAATTAATTATGTATAGATTTTAAAACTTTAGATTCTAACTTTTTAACTTTCAAATTCAAGTTGAAAACTTCCAACTCACCAATTGATTTTATTCCTTGTTAAGGACGTAGGATTGCAACGTCGATGCGACACTAAACATGTCGTAGGTGCGTCTCCTTTTGCTACCTACAGTGGCGGAGCTAGCGTGGGGGCGGAGGGGGCTTGAGCCTCCTCTACCCCGCTGGACTCCATAGAGTTGTGAGGGAGGAGAAGGGGGAAAAGAGGTAGAGGAAGAAGAAAATGGGGGGAGAGGGGGGCTGGAGGGCGCTCGATCTCCACTTTTTTTTTCTTTTTCTTCGGTTTTTCTCTTCATCATTTCTCTTTATTTCTTTCTCCCATTCTTCCTTTCTCTTTATTTTTTTCTCCCATTCTTTACTCTTTTTCTAGAAAAATTAAAAATAATTTGGTGAATTGAAGACTAGAACCCATGATCTCATGGTTTACAACAAACTCTCTCAATAAATTCACCCTATGACCCTGTGTGATTTGAGATCAGTGTTTGTTTTCTTTGTATATCTGTTCAAATTTTGTGAACACAAACCCACTATGTTACTATATGAATCATACCTTGTTCGGTAGTAACAATCGCATATGTGCAGTAACACGACACGTTACTGCGAGATTTATTAATAGTTTGAAACATTAAGTATTAATAGTTTGAAACTTATATTTTTCTTTAATTGGAATATAATCATGTGATATCTTGTTATAACGATTTAATTCCAACAAATACAATGGTGGTGGTGGCGGCAATGGTCGCCAAAACAACTCCGGCGGCAGCGGTTACGGAAATTCGGGTGGCAACTTCTACCAACAGCAGCAGGCCGGTCTTCGTCCTGCCGGCCCGTGGTTCTGCTTCAATCCATGGGCTGCGCAGGCCTCTACATGGCGCCCTCCCAGCAATCCCGGCAACAGTGCTGGCCTCCTTGGCCCGTATCCTCAAGCTCACACAGCTTTTGCCGGTTCCTATGTGTCTCCACCAACTCCAGGATGGCCTCCAATGCCGCAAGTCCAGCCCAACTGGGACCAAGCTGGTCTTGTTGCTGCTCTTAATCAACTATCTGTGAACAGTCCAAGTCCATGGGTGCTTGACACAGGAGCTACTTCGCATATGTCCTCGACCGACGGTATTCTCGTTACACGCCTCCCTAACTCTCATACCTTTATTACCATTGGTAATGGTCATACTATTCCGGTTATATGTCGTGGTACTTCTTTTCTACCTATAGGAACTACTAGGTTTGCTCTTAAAAACATCCTTGTCGCTCCCTCCTTGGTTCGAAACTTACTTTCTGTTCGTCAATTTACCCGCGACAACAAATGCTCAATTGAATTTGACGAGTTTGGTTTCTTTGTGAAGGACCTTCAAACCCAGCGCGTGATTCTTCGTTGCAATAGTCGTGGGGACCTCTACACTCTACCTACTGCCGTCCCTGCCATCACCGCCCACAGCTTCCTCGCCGAGTCATCCACTTTATGGCATCGTCGCCTTGGTCACCCCAGTCCAGCCGCAGTACAAACTCTTCATAAATTAGCTATTCTTTCTTGTACTAGGTCTAATAATAAGCTTTGTCATGCGTGTCAGTTAGGAAAACACACGCGTCTTCCTTTTTCTAGGTCTTTGTCTAGTACTTCTTCCCCTTTTGAGCTTGTTCATTGCGATGTATGGACCTCTCCAGTTTTGAGTTTGTCTGGTTTTAAATACTATCTAGTGGTGCTTGATGATTTCACTCACTTTTGTTGGACTTTTCCTCTTCGTCATAAGTCCGATGTTCACCAGCATCTCGTCGAGTTTGTTGCCTATGTCAAGACCCAGTTCAGCCTACCCATTAAATGCTTTCAGGCCGATAACGGTACCGAGTTTGTTAATCATGCCACCTCTTCTTTTTTTGCTAGCCGCGGTATCGTTCTTCGCTTGTCCTGTCATACACTTCTCCCCAAAATGGCAAAGCCGAGCGTGTTCTTCGCACAATCAACAACTCCATCCGCACCCTACTTATACAAGCTTCCATGCCTCCTTCCTATTGGGCCGAGGCTCTAGCTACTGCCACATACCTACTCAACCGGAGACCTTCCACCTCTGTTCGCAATTCTATCCCATACCAGCTCTTGCATAACAAGCTTCCTGACTATTCCAACCTTCGAGTCTTTGGTTGCCTTTGTTATCCCAATCTTAGTGCCACGACACCTCACAAGCTCTCCCCTCGTTCAGCACCTTGTGTCTTTCTTGGCTACCCGGCTTCTCACAAGGGGTTTCGATGCTTGGACATCTCTACTCGTCGTCTCTATATTTCCCGCCATGTGGTTTTTGATGATAAGACGTTTCCCTTTGCGGCTATTCCCCAGGATGCCTCGTCTTTTGATTTTCTTTTACAGGGTTTCTCCACCGCGGTAGCTCCCTCCTCTGAGGTTGAGCGTCCGCGATTTTCCTCGGTGACTCCCTCCCATGAGGTTGAGCAACCGATTCCCGACGATGACACCTCAGGCACCGAACTTTTCCAGCTTCTGCCTGGACTTCGGTCTTCTGCTGCCGGCCGTCCTCTTGTCGGCTTGCCTGTTAACGCTCGACTTCCGGGCGGGTGTGCTAATGGTGCCGCTAATGGCTCTTCTTCAAGCAATCCTTCTCCGGTTATGGATCCTCCTGCTGCTTCTGTCGTTCGACCAGCTCCATCTGAGGGACCAAATACATCGCTGATTTCTCCTTATCGGCACACCTACGTGCGCCGATCACAGCCGGCACCTGCAGCTATTCATGGCCCGATTCGCTCCTCTCGAGCGTTCCGTAGTGCTACAGATCAACAGCAGCAGACAGGTCACACCATGGTGACTCGTTCTCAGACCGGCCATCTCCGACCTATCCAGCGTTTCACTTATACAGCCACTCATGATGCTGTTTCGCCGGTTCCTTCCAACTATCGCAGTGCCCTGGCCGATCCAAATTGGCGTGCTGCTATGGCTGACGAGTACAAGGCTCTTATTGATAATAACACCTGGCGATTGGTACCTCGTCCTCCTGGTGCCAATGTGGTTACAGGAAAATGGATTTTCAAACATAAGTTTCATTCTGATGGAACTCTTGCTCGTCACAAGGCACGGTAGGTTGTTCGCGGCTATTCTCAACAGCATGGGATTGACTATGATGAGACTTTCAGTCCGGTTGTTAAGCCTGCTACGATTCGTGTTGTTCTCAGTATTGCAGCATCTCGTTCTTGGCCTATACATCAGCTGGATGTCAAGAATGCTTCTCCATGGCAACCTCGAGGAGACTGTGTATTGTCAACAACCATCTGGATTTGTAGATCCCTCTGCACCTAATGCTGTTTGTTTGCTCCAGAAGTCGCTAT